GAGACAGTCAAGAAATCAAACGTGAAAATCTGCTGTAAATAACCTCTTTAACATGTTAAAAAGAAAAAATGCCACTTTGATTTACTAGAATGCATGAGACCCAAGCCGTGCTCTTTTCAGTTGCTTCAATTGTATATGAAAACTGGGCAATGAAAATGAAAGATTCAAGGAGAATTGTGTTGTTGAAGAATATTAAATATACTACTCTGGAATGCCAGAAGATTGAAGGTGAAGGAAGTTCATTTTGAAGGAAGTATAGTCATAATGCACCTTAGAAGTAAACACGATGAAACTTCATCTTGTTTACTTTGACATGCCATCAGTAAAAAAGTCACTAGAGAAGAACATCGTGTTTGGTAAATTAGAGATATTGCTCATCTTTCTCCTGTGTAGTGGCTGGTGGTTTTGAACTGCGGTTAGCAGCCCAGCATGTAACCCACTATGCCACCAGGACTCCTCTAAAATAGAGAGTAAGGGGGGAAAAAGCAACAAAACAAGGAAAACTCCATGAGATGAGTTGACACAGTGGTTGCAACAATTAGCTCAACCATATTTAAGGTTGTGATGGTGGTTCAGGACTAGACAGTGTTTCCTTCACCATGAGTAAGGGCTGACTGAAAGGCAATTATCAACAATATACTGTGGGTGTAATATAATGTAATCGTTTTTCATCATATAGTTTGATATAATCACTCAGTTGATGTTATACTGCTGGATCCTAAGCCTGACAACTTCTGAGTCATGTAATGAACAGTATAGACACAGCAAAATAAGAGAAGTAAGCTCATGGGGAAGACAGGTGCCATGCTGGGATTGTTTAGAAGCCAAGAAACCTAGGAAGCCCCAGAGTTACTGACCAAAAAAGGAAACAAAATAGCTAAAACTCCTAGATTTAGACATACGTTTATACTCTCAGCCTTGCAGCTGTAAGAAAAAATATTTTTAAGGCTATTTTTATTTCTGTATATTTACTCCTATTGCAGTAGGAAACAGACATACAGGTGTGCTAGATATACTTTGCTCTTTTATGAGTGTTGTGTTGTAGACCATGGGTTAAATGTTAATGAGTTCATAATATATATTAAATAAGGTACATCTATTTAATATATATTGTGATTTAACCAAGAGACTGAATTAGTTAATCAATGATGATAGCTTTGTGTTTCCATAGATAAAACAACACAAGTGGCTTTTACAATGTACAAACAAATGTAAATTCCAAGTAGACATGCAGTGAAAAAATAAAAGGAAATACAGGACAATATCTTTATAACTCTGGGAAAAGAAGATAAGGGCGATTCTAAAGACCAGTAAGCATTAGTTGTAAATTTCAAGGACTCACTAATGTTAAATACTTTTTTTTTTAACCAAACAAAGGATATATCATAACCAAAGTGGAAATAAATTCACATGCTGGAAGAAGTTATTTTTATTTTTTTTGGAAAAAGTTATAACATATGTAAGCAACTAACATTTAGAAAGCTAAACATATGGGCCTTACTGAAAATCAACACACGGCATGAAAAATGGCCTGGGACATGAATAGGCATTTTACAGAAACAGATTCTAAGATGACCAGTGACACTATACATACGATTTTCAACTATACTAATAATCAAGTACCTATAGATCAAGCATCAAAACATATATAATCTGGAGGGTCTTTAAACCTCCGGTGCAAACTGGAGTTCAAAAGATAGTAGAATTTTTCCATGAATTCTTGAAGCTACCTCTTATATCCTTTATACACACACATGTATATATATATATACACACACACATTTATACATACATACAAACACTTATATGCTAAGCAAAATTTTAAAATGTTCCTTACTAACGTGGTAAAGATAAGGAGCATAGGAACTCTTCGTTGCTGTCATTGGGAGTCTAAAATGGAGAACAATTTGGAGACACATAAATTTCATTGCAACAATTCTACTTCTAAATACGTAACATGGAATAATGCTCATATATAAGCACCAGGTGACATGTATTAAAATATTTCTTCAGCATTGTAAAAACCTACATGAAAACGGGATTTTAAATATATATAGTATTCAGAGAAAGTTATTTTTCATTCCTTTGTAAGTAGAATAAATTGATCGTGTAGTCTCTAGGTTATTCAGAATTACAGTCTTTACAATGTGATTAGGGTAAGATCCTTTCTATTTTAAGCTTTGCAGGCCAAGTGGCTTCTGTCACAACGACTCGACTCTGCTGTTCTAGTGCAAACGTGGTCATAGGCAATATGCACACAAACCAGCATGGCCATCATCCAATCAAACTTTATTTACAAAAAGGTGGTGAGCTGGGTTGAGCCTGCTGGTTGTAACATTGCCAATCACTGACTTATATAGTTGATTTGTTTTGTTTGAGCAATTGAAAATAAACCATGTTTGAATTAGTAAAAAAAAAAGAAAAGAATATCTTTACGGCTGGAACCATGAAAATCTTCTTGACAAATCATTGTATGTGTGATTTTTGTCAAAGTTTACAATAGAATAAAAACCAATTTCTCTTGAATTGGTTTTAGATATATCAGAAAGAACAGTGATACATAGGATTCCCAGTAGCTGATTTTTCCAGTAGACATGCAGTCCTTTCTTATGAGATTAATGTGTGTAGACTTGAACCTCTATCTAACCTTTGGGGTAGTAGCTGAGGGTGTTTGTACTACCTAGGGACTCCTGGTTTACAATTCTTTCCATTAAGCAAATGAGAAAATTGGTGTGATTCACTTTGTTGTTATTTATATTTGATTATCTTACAAAACATTTTCTTAGAGACTTGACATCTACATATTGTGAAAGCTTTGTATATTTAGTAGACAGTTTTCCCACATGGATCTGATAAAGAAGGCAGGGAAAGATACTGATAGGATTCACCTATGAGTAAATTACCAATAGGTTTTCCCTGTGGCATCCTTTTGTGTATAAAATGAACCCTCAGAGAAGCAAGAGCAAGGAATGGAGTGTGTCCTCTGGACCTCAATTCCCTGTGCAGTGAACTTCAGGGATTTCAGTGACAGCTTCCCATTAGAGGAGCAGTAACAGAACCTGGAGCTAAAGCATGGAAGAGAGGGATGGGCTTCCCAACCCACAGAGCAAGTAAATTGGGGAAATTGGACTTGCTGACCTACTGTCATGGAGCTGAGTGCCTTTGGGTAAGGTTTACTAGAATGGGGTGCCTCTGGGTGAGCGCTTAATTCAGCATGTTGGGTTTGCTGATCCATGGAGATTTCACTGAATGTCATCAGGTCGAGGCTTATAACAGAGTGGTATGCCCCTTTGGGCATTTATTTGCAAACTGAAACTTTGTAACTTGGTAAAACAGTTAACCTGAGCATTTCTCACTGCCATGACAACTTGCTAACTTCCTTAATCCTTTAATCATGAATTTTTTTGTGTGAGTTTCTGTGTAGCCATTACAATGGATTTTAGAACCCAAAGAAATAAAACTGTTGTTTTGTTAGGTGCCATCCAGTCGGTTCTGACCCATAGTGACTCTGTGTACTACAGAACAAAACACTGCCCTGTCCTGCACCATCCTCACAATTGTTCCTGTGATTGAGCCCATTGTTGCAGCCACTGTGTCCATCCATCTTGTTGAGGACCTTCCTCTTTTTTGCTGCCCCACTCCCCCACCTGGCATGATTTCCTTCTCCAGTGACTGGTTTTTCCAGACAGCATGTCCAAAGTATGTAAGAAAATGCCTCACCATCTCTAAGGGGCACTCTGGCCATACTTCTTCCAAGACAGATATGTTTATCATTTTGGCAGTCCATGAAACTTTCAATATTCTTCACCAGCACCACAATTTGAATACATTGATGCTTCTTCGGTCTTCCTTATTGAATAAAGGTACCATATATATTTGAGTATAGGACAATTCGAATATCAGTCGAGGCACCTAATTTCACCACAAAAACTGCATTAAAAATGTGCTGAAAAAACTCGGCTGATACACAGGTATATATGGTAAATAGAGCATATTAAGACATTTCAGAATATTTTCTAAAATCTACTTTTTGAAGCAGTTCCTTTATGTTCTTAAGAACTACAGTGTCCTTTCCTCTCATTCTTAAATGCTTCCTCCCACCTACTATCATGATCCCAATTCTACCTTACAAATCTGGCTAGACCAGAGCATGTACACTGGTACAAATAGGAACTGGAAACACAGGGAATCCAGGGCGGATGATCCCTTCAGGACCAGTGGTGAGAGTGGCCATACCCAGAGGGTAGAGGGAGGGTTGAGTGGAAAGAGGGAACAGATTACAAAGATCTACATATAACCTCCTTCTTGGGGGATGGAGAACAGAAAAGTGGGTAAAGGGAGACGTCGGAAAGTGTAAGATAAAACAAAATGCTAATTTATAAATTATCAAGGGTTCATGGGGGGGGAGATTGAGGAGCTGATGTCAGGGGCTTAATTGAGAGTAAATGTTTTGATAATGATGAAGGCAATGACTGTACAAATGTGCTTTACACAGTTATGTATGTATGGATTGTGATAAGAGTTGTAGGAGCCCCTAATAAAATGATTTTTTTAAAAAGGCAACAGTGTCTGAGAATTTGCTGATCTGAAGTGGTATTTGAATGTAGGAATTAAATTTTTTCCCTCAAATTTTAGGGACTTACTCACTAATATGAGGTAGATTCTGATTCGTAACCACCATATTTAAGGGACTAGAGGATTTTTGTGTTTGTCTATGAGATACTTACAGCTATTATAGTTACGTTGGAACTGTAAATCTAAAGACATTACTATGTAAGATTGCTTTCACCTAAATGAAAGTTACCGCAGTACATTTTATGTTTATGGTAATACAGGTAGGTTGTATGTGTTTAAGAACATTTGAATGTGAACCCAAGTCAAATTGATAGTGGAATAGAGTAGTTTTAAGACAAATCAAGATTTTTATATAAAAATATTATCAAGTAACTTAGTATGCATGTTTCTCTTAACTAACAATGGAATATGTTTATTTTTTACAGGGACATTAAACCTGATAATATTCTGATGGATATGAATGGACATATTCGATTAGCAGACTTTGGTTCTTGTCTGAAGCTGATGGAAGACGGAACGGTAATTAAAGGAAAATCTTAAACGAATCCATATTCATTTCCTTTACTTGTTCTTTAATCTGTTCAAAAACCATCTACTTATACTGTCCGTCTTCTGCATACAAAGGAATTTAGACATACTTATTCATAATGATGGAGCCCTGGTAGCATAGTGGACTAAGTATCAGGCTGCTTACTGCGCAGTTCAAACTCACCAGCCACTTGTGATAGAAAGATGAGGATGTGTGCCCCTGTAAAAATGTACAGTAGCAGTGACCTAATAGGGTGTTTGCGAGTTGGACTTAACTAGATGGCATTGGATTTGGCTTGTTATTCAAAATAGGGCTTGCTTATGGAGCCCTGCCATTTCCAGCTGCTTACTTAGTTATCTTAAGATTGTTTATGGCATTGGATTTGGCTTGTTATTCAAAATAGGGCTTGCTTATGGAGCCCTGCCATTTCCAGCTGCTTACTTAGTTATCTTAAGATTGTTTAAGGACATCCTATACTTGTTCTTTAGTGTCTATTTATTATTGTATTTGACATACTTCTAGATTTCTAGAGGGGTAAAGGAAATCAAATGTATGAGGGGCACCCCCAAAAAACCCGAATTGCACTGAGCAGAGCGTAGCTTACATATTACACATTTTTGCCGCTAAGCGAGCATCAAGAAACTTTGTCTGAGATAGTGCACCCAGTGGTGTTGCCTGGTCACAGCAAATTTTTTTGTAAACACAACTTCCTAAAATCTCATATTTTGTGATGGCTGATTTAAGAGAATAGTGTGTGGCTATGAAATTGTGTTTCCTGCTTTGGAAAAATACTGTAGCACTGTTGTGATGTTGAACACAGCTTACAAGGACAGCACTATGGGAAAAAGTCAAGTGTACGAGTGGTTTTCTTGTTTCAAAAACGGTGAGTGTTTATTGATGACAAACCTTGTTGTAGACATCTCTCAACTTTCCAGACGAATGAAAATGTCCGCTCCTAATGCATTTGTAGTTAGTTCCACCAGGTCAGACTGTTAATGAAGCTTCCTATTTAGAGGTTCTGAAAAGATTGCATAACAGTCAAAAGAAAGGACTGATTTGTTGCAGACGAGGGACTGGTTTTGCCACCACAACAGTGCACCTGCTCATGCAGCCATCTCAGTGCACCAGATTTTGCCTCTCTTGCCTCACACACCTTATTCTCCTGACCTAGCTCCATGTGACTTTTTTTTTTTCTGGGAATGACGAGGGACATGAAAGGACAACAATTTGATGCTGTCTGTAGAAGAGGTAAAGAAAAAAAAAAAGGGAGGTGCTATCAGCCACCCAAACAGATGAGTTTGAAAAAGAATGTTTCCAAGAATGGAATTGCAGATTTGACAAA